GCAAATTTTCATCATAGTCGCTTTACAAAATTTTAGAAGTTTTAATTTTAATTAGCTTTTGACCCGCGCAACCGCACGAGTGTTTGTTTTCGTTTATAGTTAGTTATATAAAAATTTTGTTTTCACTTATAAATTGGTATATATTATAGTAATCACATATTTACGATATTTATTGTAAATGTTTTTCAAACATAATAATATTATATAATACGTGTTTTAGTCAAATATATTGTTTCAAATTTTCTATATTATACATGTTTTTCAAACTTGTGTTTGTTTCTTCTTCTATATTTTATTGTTTGATAGATTAGTATGCCATTTTTAGATAAAGTAATAGAAATAGAGTTTGATTATATATTTGTATACTTTAATTTGCAAAGATAATATAAAATTTGAAGAAATTTTTGCTAAAAACTAAACTTATAGCTTCATAAATTAATATTATAAAGAATTTTATTAAAAAATAATTTTTTAAACAATTTATTTTTTAAAAGAAAATACTTTTAAAAATTTAAATCGAAATAAATTTATCTAGTATATAAAACGTGTAAATTTTGTTAGGGTATATAAATATTCCATATTACGAATTTGTGATTTTTGTTAATATATTGTGGATGCATTTAACTATTATTGACATATTTCCTTATAAATAATATAAGATTCCTAAACTTATATCTATTGACATATTTTGCGTGACTAAGTTGGAAGGTGTGGGGTAATTTACCCAAACCAAATTGTTAAACATATTTTTGTTATTATATTTATGTTGTTCAAAAATACAATAATGATAAGATTATTAGAGAATTAATGTAAATGACTTTCTAGTAATAGTCTATTTTTTAAAAAAGCACACATGAAGTTAAGTTATGAATTCTGTTTTAATATATAAGATACTTTGCATCTACTAAGCAACTACTACACCCGGTTTGGAAGATTATTTGGGCCAAAAACGAAACACTTTTAGTTATTGAAAGAAAAAAAAATCAACTATTTTTATAATGATCATTTTTTCCAACAAAAAAAAAAATTATTCTAAAGTGACCATCAATTTTGAAATACAAACTAGTGATAACTGATAAGCAACTAATATAATACACAATTAAAAGATAGTTTCGAGCACTCCGTATAAGTTTGTCCACCTTTATGTTTTTTGTTCTTCAAATATATTTGATTGTAAAGTTTGGAATTTTATTTTTAGATTGTTGATTTTCTACTACAACTATTTTTAGACCACAAACACTGATTTTTTTTTTCTTTTTCTCTGTTTATTTCTGGCGTATGCATTATGCATCACATTATCTAACTGGTAATTTCTACAACGAAAGTTACCAGAAAATTTGTTATGAGGTTCTTTCGTACGGAGCAACATAAATCATGTCCAAATAAATTAGTGCATATACATACATATATTTTTTTCTTGTCGGTTATGCTGACAACTTGTCTGGCCAAACATGTGGAGATGGAGAGATTTTAGAGAAGTTTCGAAAACCAGGTGGACCATTGTCAGTTTTTTTTTATTTTTTATAAATCTATGCAGCTATGCTTGCGATGGAAAAATGTTGTGATAACAAAATTCTAGAAGTCATCAAGCGAGTGAATTGGAAAAATGGGACATTTTGAAATTTTGTTTGTCAGAATAGGATTTTTCATATTTTTAATCATTTATAGATATGTTTTACTCCTCTTTAATGGAAAATAGTAAACTGAATTTTAAAAATATAAAAAAATATGAAAACTATTGTAAACTTAAGTATAATAATATATATGTTTAAATAAAAAGAAAAATTTGGGATCGTATTTTATTTAATTTTCTAGCCACAGTACATTATGGTGATCTAGTTAGTTTATAAATCAGATTTTAAGTGATAAACATAGATATATCAAAGATATATACCGTAATCTAACATTTCTTGTATATTCCGACAAAGATATATACCGTAATATAACCTTTCTTGTATATTCTGACAAAGATAAAATAAGTTACGTTACAATCTAGAAAGATGTCTTTGTTCTACCAAGAGCTTTAAAACAATATATAGCCACAACTCAATGATATAGCTCGGCTACATTACGTGCCAAAACATGTTCTGCCTTTTACCTTATATGTCGCCTATAGGACTAATATGTTTCATACCTCCTATACTGTGTTCTGTGTAGGTAGTATACATATTCTAGGCAAATCCTGAAAATATGGTAACTTCCATATTCGGTTATAGAAGTTTACTAAATCTAAACTAAATCTACCCTAAATCTAGCGAAGAATATTTTCTCCAAATTTCACGTTCTTCTCCTCCTCCCACGATCCTTTTCTCTTATTTTGTGTTTCTCTCTTCTTCATCCACACAATCATCTCTTCTCTCTATCAATACATCATGGTTCTAATCTATGTTAAATCTGGTGAATGGGTGTCTAGTTGCAGTGAAGAGTGGAGTTTCGTGGTAGACAAAGCAAGGCGTGGTCGTATGTTAACATTAGAAACTACTACTCCTTTGGAGAAGGTCAAGAGGATCGTGTGTGAGGATTATGGGGTGGACCTTACTGTTGTGAATGCTGAGTTTAGTTATTCGATGGTGAATCAAAGAGGGAATCCTCCAATTATTATCACTAATGATCGACAATCATCTAATTTTGTGGCGTATGCAAAGAAGGATTCATCTACTACTTTGTGTGTAATGTTCTCTGGTTCTGGTGTTAACCAAAAAAAAAACGAGTCAATATCGATTTGAATAAGGAGCCGTGTGATTCAAGTAATTTTGAGGACGAAGAAGTTCATGGTCAAAATCGAGCAGAGTTTGTGAAGCCGTCAAAGGAGTCTTGTGATAGAAGGAAGGATCATGTCGATGCATCAGGTTGCGCTAATGATGGTTTAAGGAGTGAAAACATTGGAGATTCTCAAAATAATGGAGATAGTGAAAAAGATGGTCGATTTTGGAGAGGAGATTTCGTGAAGAAGAATCAACTTTTCAGAAGTAAAGAGGTTCTGAAGGCAACAATGGATATTTTAGCTATGAAGAATCATTTCGATTACACTGTTCTCAAATCCACGAGAAAATGGTGGTACTGCCGATGTAAGGATGCATTATGCAACTGGACTGTGCGTGCAGAAGGTGTGGACGGGTCTACATATTTCATGATCAACCAGTGCGAGGAAAGACATACATGTGCTCCTTCAAAGAAAAGAAAATTCGGAAAAACAGCATCGGCAAGAACAATTGGGAGTCTAATACAACATCGATATGGTGATGCCAACGATGGCCCAAAAGCAAATGACATCATTCACTTTATGAGATTGGAGCATAGTTGTGAGATTAATTATTGGCACGCTTGGGAAGCTCGTGAGTTTGCTATAGCAGCTGCTAGAAGTATACCAGATCGCAGTTACGCTAAAATACCATTGTATTTGCATATGCTTAAAGAAGCTAATCCTGGGTTGCATACTCACTATGAACTTAATGAGAAGGGGAGATTCATGTATCTATTTATGTTGTTTGGCCAATCAGTTAGAGGATTCTATAATGCAATGCGAAGGGTGATTGTTGTTGATGGAACTTTTCTGAAAAATAAATACAGAGGAGTTCTACTTGTTGCTACTGCTGTAGATGGTAACTCTAATTTGTATCCGATTGCATTTGGAGTTGTTGATTCAGAGAATGACGATTCACGGGTTGGTTCTTCAGACAGTTGAAAGTGGTTATTGCTGATTGTCAAGACTTAGCTTTTGACTCAGATAGAAATGCGTCTATTACTAAAGCGATTGGGACTGTCTACCCTCGATCAGCACATGGAATTTGTATTCATCACTTGTTGACCAATGTGGTTGCATTTTTCAAGACAAAAGGGTTCACTGCCTTGGTTGAACAGGCTTCACAGGCATATAGGTACACTGAATTTGAGGAACGTATCACCGAAATTTTTGCTATGAGTCCTGACCTTGGAAGATATCTACGGGAGGATGATGTGCGCAAATGGGCTCGTTCTCTCTTCCCTGGTAAAAGGTATGACATTAGGACCACAAACCCTACAGAGTCGATAAATTCAGTACTGAGAATACCTAGAGAATATCCGGTATTCCTTTGCTAGATAGTATAAGAGAACTGTTGACTCGATGGTTCTATGAGCGTCGCTTGGTAAGCTCTAAGCATCTTGATCCTTTAACCACTAAGGTGGAGAAAAAGATTGATAGGAGAATTGTGAAGGCAAAAGGGTATCAAGTTCACAAGGTTGACGACTTCAAATCACTTGTGAAAGGAGACATATATGATTGTTTTGTTAATTTGGAAAGAAGAACATGCACATGTGGGAAGTATGATATAGGAAAAATTCCTTGCCGACACGCCATTCCTGCAATTTATTCATGAGGTATGGAAGTATAAACACATGAACTTGGTGGACCTATTCATTTTTGGTAATTAAGCTTAGTGACTCCAATCAATCACATTATTTTGACACAGGCCTGGAAGTGCACATATTTACTGATGACTTATACACCACTTCAGCGTGGAGAACCACCTATGAGGAATGCATTAATCCAATAGCAGTTCCAGAGTCTGAATGGAATGTCCCCGCTGAGGTTAAACTGGCTAAGGTTACCACCAGAGACAAGAAAGAGTGCTGGTCGACCAATAAAGAGAAGGTATGAATCAGTAGAAGACAAGATAAAATCATCTCAGGGATCAACAAAGAATAAAAAACACAAGTGTAGTCGTTGTGGTACCCAAGGACACAAGAGAGGAACATGCAATTTACCCATCTAGTTTGTTTTGTGTGTTATTCTGTCTCTGTTTTGTTTCTTGTTGATCTTGAATCATAGTGATCTTCTACTTAAGAACTTATTTGACTATTTGGTATTTGCTAAACTCTTGAGGCTAATCGATCAATGTTTGTGATAATTTGGTATTTGGAAAATTATTGGTTCTAGTAGATGATAATTATCAAGAAATAACAAGAAACATAGTCTTAAACTTGTTTGAAAAATAAATATTTGAGGCAGCACATGAACATCAGGCAAGGTACATTAACACCATCACCAAACAACACACAAACAAAGATTTTATGATCCTTAATTCTCTAATGCATTCTGTGATCTTCTCTTCACAATGTGCAATTGGATCTTCCATCTCTTTAATTCTACTCTCATGGCCTTTCATCATGGCCTCACCACCTTTCACTGATTTCTGAATCTCAATATTGTCGACAAGCAGCACGTCAAACAAGTCCTAGAAGTCTTCAATTTCCTCAACAACCGACTTATCAGTCCATTTGAACAAGTGGGTTTTGTCCTTCATCATTAGCATCCAATAAACAGTTAGATTGAAACAAAGCAAAGTTACATGATTATAAGACTAACCTTGTCAGATCCCATCGGACAACAATGAAATAATCTTCCTGAATTTTTAACCGTTTTTTAAGTGAAACGAGACACTGGCTGACCACAATTGCATCTCGTGGGAATTCCGCGTTGTTTGGCGAGTCGATCTGTTGGAGTTGATGAAGAATTTACCGAAGACATGATTGAGTCAATCTCCAAATTTTCGCTGCTGTAAATCTCTCTGTCGAGGAAGAATGAGGAAGAAAAGGGAGTAGGTCAAAATAATTACCTAAACGACGTCGTTTGATACTTCTATAACGTGTATTCTATCAAAGGAAGATCAGAAAAAATCACTAAAATAGACGGCTTCAACCTATTACAAACCTATGTACTTTTTCTTCGAATCCTCTAAATTTGTTTAAAAACATGGAGCAAAGATGTCATTACTAGTGAATTGATCAATTGATAATTAGTGACCAATTTACATTACTAGTGAATAAGTATATGTCATTTGCGCATAGGCTTTCGAATTTGATTATAGTTAAGGGTTTAGGGTATAGTTGAGGTTATGGGTTTAGGGTATGTTTAGGGTTTATGAATTATGATCATGTAGTGTTGAAATACTTTGCAGAAAATCAAATTAGAGGAACTAAAAATCCTTCAAAAACCTAGATATAATTGTTATGGTTTGTTTAGGGTTTAGGGTTTGTTTAGGGTTTAGGGTATGTTTATGGTTTAGGGTTTTATGAATTATGATCATGTAGTACACTATACTTTGCAGGAAATCAAATTAGAGGAACTAAAAATCCTTGAAAAACATAGATATAGTTGTCACATAATTCCTAAAAAATCCAAAGCTAGAGTTGTCACAAAATACAAATTAGACATAAGCTAGAGTTGTCACAAATACAAATTAGAGTTGTCACAAATCCAAACATAAGCTAGAGTTTTCCACCTTCAATCTTCGAGTTCAAAGGACTCTTCTCTCTCCCATGGTGAAGGCACATATCGTGTTATTGCCTCAGCATAAATGGGATCGTGTGCAGCCTCCCATAAATCCACACCAATCTTCTGTCTGCAACCCATGATTATTTCATCATCAACTAAACTGAGGTCGATACCAAGAAAATGGCATTCCAAGTGCTTGAGTGCGTATGCACCGCAATCACAACAAGACTTGTTCAATCTCGTCTTCATAGGAACATCCACGATAGAATAAGATGCTAGGAGTAGCTGCTTCTGTCTTTCAGGTGGCGCAGCGGCCTTCACTATCCTAGGAATCAGAGCAGCATACTTCTCCACGTGTTGTCTATTTTTTGCCCGACCACTATCCAACACTTCTACCCTTTTCTCAATAATGTTGGCGCAGACACCAACCCAGTGATTACCTGCAATGGACAATAATAATTTTAAAGTTTATTGATTTTATTCAACTTTAAAATCAATTACGAATTACACTATATAATTTTAATTCAGTTTAATTGATAAATGAAGGGGAGTTTGGTATTAACAGAAAGAAAAATCCTATTTTACAAAAATATATGGTAGAAATTCTATTGTGACAAATCCAAGTTCAAAGTGTCCATTTTTTTCAATTTTCTCTTTTATTTTTTTGTTAGACAATACGCTAACCTTCGGTAATAGCACATATTCCTTTTTTTTTTGGAAAAAGCTCATATTCTTTAGTTGGCCCATTCTAAATCAAGAATCCTAATGTATGATAGAGAGAGACTAAATGCTTAATAGCAGATTTGTCAAACAGAATAAATTTGAAGAATGTAAAGTCTTCTGTTGTTTTACTTTGAGATTATAAACTGATCACTCTTTGTTACCATTTTGTATGGGATCCATCTACAAATTTTTCTTACTGGATCAACTTGGTTCGTAGTTTTTTTTTGTTTCCGCAACAGTGCACTTCTTATTCAGAACTAATCACCAGTTCACCACTTCGAAAATTCAAATTGGTAGTATACATGACCAACATAATATAAAGTTGAAAAAGAACTTTGAGTACATTGTGCAAGTTTATCCGGTATTGTATTTTTTCTTAGAATACGTTGGATCAAAAACTCTGGAAAAACACCTTACATCGTTATTTTCTTTAATGTAGGACATGAAGACTGGCCATTCCTTTTGTGTTAAACACCATCTTCACCTATTGAAAACAATTTACTCAAAATACTACCTCTGAGAACTGCAAGATGGTCATGCACTCCACAGTCAAAATTAAAGCTTCATATTCTGTATTTATAGCCGATATGCTCCGTCAGATGTTCCTTGATCCTATGATCTTGTTGTAAGAATCTCCTATAATGGAAACCATCCTTTCACGAGAACTTGTCTTGTTCTCTCCATGATCCATCAACATAACACCATTGGACGTCCTTGTCTTGTTGACCGGTTTACGCTTAATAATTTTCATCTGAATTTTCAATTCGGTGAGTGTGCCTCAGCCTCCAATGCAAACTCTATTTCAGCAACACGCAAGATCTTATGTGGATTACCATTTGTATTTTATAAATCTTATCATTTCAGTTTTTAAAAATGTACCACACAATACTTAGAAAGTAAGTGAAATCACATTTCTTCATAATTGGAGAATATCGAGGATACTGGAAACCCCTTCAGTTTTGATATATAAAGAAGTGAATAAATATTAGGAATGTGTAATTCAGATACAAAAGGTTATTCCCAAAAACATTATGCTTAGAGTTTTTTCAAAAATAATAAATATTTTCTTTTATTTTTATTTTTTTGTACTGTAAGAAGTGAGAACACTCACTCTTATGTCTAAATGGTAATTAACTGAAAAGCATGTTTTCTTGGATAGAGCAGAAGGTCACCCTCTGATCTCCGAGTTTTTGGTTTTCGGGTTCTGAGTAGCGTGATTCTTCTGCCTCTGAGAAGAAAAGGAAAACATCTACATAAAGGAAGTTTTTTTCAATAATAGCATAAGACAAAACTTGAGTTCACCCCCTGTGATGAACTCTCTAATTCATTCCACTCTGTATGACTTGTTCAAAGTGACATGTAAAATTAAAAAGAAAAAGAATAAAAACAGATTTTAAGAAAAGAAAATAGGTTGGAAAAAAAATATTAACAAGCTGGTTAACGCCGTCTATGGCATCTTTTTCTTCATGGCCTACAGAGAAAATTGGAAATTTTGTTTGTCAGGTTCAAATCTCCAATTCTATGCTTCAAATCAAATTCCAATTTAAACTTGCAGTCCCGAGGGAGGAATAATCCATCCTCTCTTTTTCCTTTTGGGATAGTTCTCTCGAAGTTTGGATTATGTTGACTTTACTCTTTTTCATAAACAGCAACTATCACGTTCAGATTCTGGTATAGTCTTGCTTGAAAGTCGAAACAATTGTCCATTATTCTAATATACATTCATTCACCTTCTTTGATAAATCTTTAAAAAGGTGTCAACATGAATTCGAATATGTGGTTGAGTAACGTGTTTTGCTTAAGTTTAGCTTACAATACTAGTTTGTATACGATGACCACAAATAAGATATCATGCATCTCGTTTTGCTTTCAGGGCCTGAGGAAGAAGATATTTATTGCGTTGGGATCTAAACATGGATAGATCTGTTTGTTTCTTCAAGCTTAGGGTGAATGAGTTATCGAAAAGATCATGCAATTATGTTTATAATTGTCCTTTTTCTTTCTTATCTGTATCTCAAGAGACAGAAGTAGGTAAGGGTTTTGATATTAAAACAACTGTTGTAACACAGAGAAAAGCACTGGTATTGAATGATTGAAAATGAATCTTGGAATGAGAAAGAAAAAAATGTGTTTTGAGCTTTGGATCTTGGTTCTCTTTGTTGAACCTTGGATAAGCAAAGGGGACAAGAAGGTATACAAAGAAACCTATTCTACTTAGTAATAAAGCATTACGGGTAGTGACTGTAGTTGGACACATAGATCATGGGAACCGAAGTTGGCTATTAGCTTTCAAGTCTGGTCTATAATAAAATAAAGCAATAATTGACACCAGCCATCATAGTCCAGTGGTAGAGCTCGTGACTTTTACTCCCGTGTCCACGTTTTATAGCTTGTCCATGATGGTACCACTATGGCAAGCGTCAACCATGGCATGGAGCTTGACTCATTACACAAAAAGTGTAGAATCGAGATACAGCGAAAATACAATGCATACAATAATTCCAAAAACTCTTTTCTCTTTTATTAAAAATCTACACAATCTCTAACAGATTTGTTTGATCCGAATTACACGACTCACCACAGATAAATTCCTAAAACACTCAAGTTGCTTGCCTCAACACTTGTTGATCAAATCTACCAATTCACTCAGCTATGAAACCCCAAAACCTTTTGTATTTCCCTTTGAGAATTACATCGACAAAAGCTCTAATCCCCAAATTAGGTAAAAACCAAAATATCTATTAAATACTATTTTCCTATTATCTTATATATTATTTTCCTATATTTTAACATCGTAAATCTTCTAATTTTGTCAACCAAACATATAGAAATATTCCACATCACTGCATCTTGATGATTCCTTTTGTCTTTTCCGAAATTTGTGTCACACACCATTCTCTGTGTGTAACATAAGTATGCAAAGCAAAACTCCACCACTGCAGTAACTTCTCAAGCTCCAAGTGCAGCAACTTCTCAAGCTCCAAGTGCAGCAACTTCTCAAGCTCCAAGTTCTTGAGCTTACATTCTCCCCCTTTTTCACTGGGTTTTACAACTCAAGCTCACTAACCTCTGAGCATAATATGCATCGTACATCCCATCAAAATAAATTTCAAACTCCCCCTGAAATCAAGTATTATCTCCCCCTGTTTGAGTGAAAAACTCTGTGAAAACTTCATGATACTTGTTGGACATCAAAAACTCTCAATACCTCTTAGACCATCGAATTGGTTCTTCAAGCTCAGTATATTGATCATCCATTCGAGTGTATGACACACTGGTATGCTCGTGTGACACACATTTCATAAACTTAGGATACATATCCTTCTTAGCTATCCATACATATCCATACCTTCTGGGTTCCACATAACAAAGGTTCATCCTCCAAGCTCTCTCAATCTGGGATCTCTGAGAATAACATAACACAACTTTATGACCATGATTCCCACAAAACAAACATCCATTCCTTCGAGTTATTGCAGGTTTGGGAGGGTGAACTTTTGTCTGAGCCTTATGTTCCTTTTCCACAGGTACAGATGTATGTGTTTTCTCAACTTTTGAGCTACTTTCAGGGTGAGAGGCAGTACCTTTTTCAAAGTTAATAACATTGACTGGACAGACTAGCTTGATTTTCTGGAGAGGCACCCTTGTAACCTAAACCCCAGTTCACCTTTGGAGATTGTCCAAGTGATAAAATATGATCTAAAGTTTCAGATCCTTTATTCAGCATCCTTAACTTTTTGTAATTTTCACTGAGTTCTCTTTGCAGCAGCTGACTTTTCTCGAGTTCCTCATTCAGTAGCTGTTTCGTCTGTTCATATTTGGTCTCAAAGCTCTTTAGATTGTAGGCCTGCTCAGAGATTGTCTTATGTAGACTCTGTAGATCAGATTCCTTCTCTTCTTTTGATATCCCAACTCTGCTTTATTGTTGTTTTTGGACTCTATAATGTTCCATTGTGCTTCCAGCCTTGCTTTATCTTTGATCAGCTGCATATTTTCTTCACTGAGTTTAGCAAACTGACCAAAGAGAACCTGATACTCAACAAACAGATCTGCATTTAAATCACTTTCTGTATGACTGTGTGACGCATCATAATTGGTGTGTGATATGAGGCATATTTGCATAGTTTTAGCATTTAATTTTGTACATAAATCATCATATAGATGAAAAGGTTTAGACATCTTTAGGTCCATATTGCATTCATATGTCCTTATTAGGTATTGGAGTGTGCCATGGAGTGAATGGAGGTGTTTGGGAGCATTGTGATCCAAATGAGGGTTAAAGATGAACATGGATGGAGACCTTAAAGATATCTTTTGAAGCTCATATTTTGGGAAGACATGGGAAATTGGGATATCTTTCTAATGGAAGTGGTCTCAAGTTATTTGGAGCTGTATTGAAGAAGTTATGATCTATCTACTGAAGGCATATCAACCCTGTAACGACCAGAACTATAACGACCAGAGCATGTCGCTAGGAAGAGAGCGGAGAGTCTGTAGCGACCACTGTAGCGACCAGAACATGTCGCTACGAGAAAATCCCCAGAAAATTCTGTGTGCTGTAGCGACCAGAGCATGTCGCTACGAGCATGTCGCTACAGACGAAAAGACCCAACTTTTAGGCTCGTTTTTAGGCTTCTATATATACATTGGAGACCTAAGTTTAGAACTTATCTTCTTTTCTCTCAAAAACACATTGGAAAGTTGAATTCTTGATTAATATAATCTTGGTTTCTTGAGTACTTTGAGTCTATCTCTTTTTCTAATCATGATTAGTCTTCTATCCATCATGGTTTTAAGATTAAACATGAAGATTAGTGAGTAGACTCTCTTTGAGCTTATGGGTTAGGGTGATTAGGGTGACTAAGTGATGATCTAGGGTGATTAGTGTTAGATTCTTCTTGTCCTATTGATAGACCATGATTTTGACCCGCTTTTGGTCATATTTTCTATATGTTTTTATTATAATTATCTATGTGTTGGAGTCTATTAGGTATGTTTTCAGGTTCAGGAGCATTTTGTGGTAAAGTGATGATTTAGGTTCCTTTTGGTGCTTAAAGAAGAGTTTTCCATGATGACTATGAAGATCCGATATAAGAGATACATATCGATCGATACACACCCTGTGTAATCGATCGATGACGCTTCCGTAGAATTTGAAGTCGAGATCCTCCATCGATCAA